GTCCCATTTGTCTGATGTTAACATAGCCTTTCCAGATTTCTTTTGATTAGTGTTTTCATGGATATTTTTTCCATTCTTTTACTTTTAATCTTTGTCATTGTATTTAAAGTGAGTTTGTATGTAGATGGGTCTTCTTTAAAAAAAAAATCCATACTGATGATTTCTGTCTTTAAATATCTGTGTTTAGACCATTTACATTTCATGTAATGTTAGACCATTTCATTTCATGTATTAATATGGTTGTATTTCAGTCTATTACTTCAGTATTCATTTTCCACTTCTGCCCTTTGTTTTGGTCTCTTATTATTCTATTACAATATATCTATTTGATTTTTGACTATTTCTTTTTGCATCATGTTTTTAGTGGTTTCTATTAGGATTGCCTATTACTACTATGCTTACTACTTAATCTTTCACAGTCTGTTTATATTTATTATACTGTTTCATGAAAACTATAGAAATTGTATATAGGTTATTTCACCCTCATTCCTCCATGTTATGGTTGGCAGATGCCTTCTGTCTTTAGACTTCGAAAACTCCAATGGGGAATTTTATAACATTTTATTTCAACAGTCTATGCATTTTAAATAAATTAAGAAGAGAAATTATTGTGAATAATGCTTAAATTAACATGGAAATACAGATATCTATTTGAGATCCTGATTTCAATTCTCTTGGATATATACCCAGAGGTGGGGTTGCTGGATTACATGGTCGTTCTATTTAAAAATTTTTGAGGAACCTCCATAATATTTTCTATAGCAGCTGCACCATTTTACATTCCCAACAACATTGTACAAGGATTTCAGTTTTGCCACAGCCTTACCTATACTTAACTTTTTAAAAAATAAGGGTCATCTTAACATTTGTGAAGTGATATCTCATTTTGGTTTTGATGTGCATTTCCCTGAAGATTAGTGATACTGAATACCTTTTCATATGCCTGTTGGCTATTTGTCTGTCTTCTTGGGAGAAATGTCTTTTTGAGTCTTTTGCCCATTAAAAAAATTTTGTTGTTGTTGTTGTTGTTACTGAGTTTTAGGGTTCCTTACATATTTTGTATATTAGCCACTTATCAATATATGGCTTGCAAATATTTCTCCCTTTCCATAAATTGCTCCATTGTTGTACAGAAGCTTTTTAGTTTGATGTAATATTATGGGTCTATTTTTGCTTTTGTTGTCTGTGTCTTTGGTGTCATACCCAAGAAATCATTGTCAAGGCCAATATTATGAAGCTTTTTCTCTACATGCTCTTCTAGTAGTTTCACACCTTCTGGTATCATGCTTAAGTCTTTAATTCATTTTGAGTAAGTTTTTGTGTATGGTGATCAATTTTATTCTTCTTCATGTGGTTTTATAATATGCAAAATATGGAAAAGAAAGTTAAGTGACAGATAAATAAATTGTGGTACATTCACACAATTAAATATTACTCAGCCTTGAAAAAGAATAACATCCTGCCATTCATGACAACAGAATTGAACTTGGAGGAGATTATGCTAGATGAAATAACCCAGTCACAGATGGACAAATAATGCATGATTACACTTATTTGAGGTATCTAAAATAGTCAAATTCATAGAAGCAGAGAATAAAATAATGGTTTCCAGGGACTGAGGGGAGGGAGAAAGTGGGAGTTGTTGTTCAATGGTTTTAAAGTTTTAGTTGTGTAAAAATCAGTTCTAAAGATCTGCTATACAACATAGTGCCCATAGTAAACAATATAGGCTTGTGCACAGGAAAATTTATTGATGGTAAATCTCATGTTAATTTTTCTTACAACAAAAACAGTAGCAATAACAACAAAAACAAAGAGTCACAAGGAAACTTTTAGAGGTGACAAACATGTCTTTTTTCTTGATTGCGATGATCATTTCACAGTTGTATGCATATGTCCAAACTCATCAAATTGCATGTATTAAATATGTATAGTTTTTGGTATATAAATTATAACTCAATAAAGCTGATTGTAAAAGAGAAATGAAAACTAGTTTCTTGTATCTTATCACATGTTTACTATTTCTGTTGTTCTTCCTTCGTATTTGAAGTTACAGATTTTCCTCTGGTATCCTTTCCCTTCAGCCTGAATAACTTCCTTTAGGACTTCTTTATAGCAGGTCTACTCACAATGAATTCTCTCAGTTTTCCATTTGAGAATGTCTTTATTTTAGTATAATTTCTTTGTGATATTTTTACTGGTATAGAATATGGGGTTGCCAACGTTATTTTTCTGTTGGTGTTTTTAAAACGTAACGAGAGAGAGATATCATGCATTCTTACAGATCACTGTAAGTACTCTGATGTTACTCTAAGAGAAATGGGAAGCTATTGCAATGATTCGAGCAGATGAGTGACCTATCTATATTTGAAAGCTCTCATTGGCTGCTGTATTAAGAATGTTCTGTAGGAGGACGAGCAGGGAAACCATTTAGAAGGCTATTACAGTAATTCATTGAGATGGGGGTGGCTTGACCAAAGAGATAGCAGTGGTCAAACTTTAGGTCAATCTTTTAGTTAGGGCCAACTGAATTTCTTGATGGATTCGACGTGAATAGTGAAAGAAAAAATAAGAGTCAAAGATAACTCTGAGGCTATGGGCAGAGATTCTGAAAGAATGAGATGCTGTCAATTGAATGACAAAAGGTAACAGAAGCAACATGTTGGCAGTGAGAAGGAGAAAGATCAGGAGTAAAGTACTGGTCACATTAATTTAAAATCCTGACCCTCTTCAATGCGGTATTTCCAAGCAGAAGGAGGATAGTCATACAAGTCTGTCTCTTCTAGATCTTGTTTGATGTGACCCAGTAGTAAAAGAAGGAACGTGTTGAAGCCTGTGTTGAAGCCTCTGTTGAAGCTGAGGATGCGTTAGAGTTCTTCCGCAATCAAAACACACATTTTGACTGCTATTTGAATATTTAGGGGACTAGCATTACCTTTCTTTATGATTAAGGACCATTGATTTTCTCAACTCATAACACAATTTCTACCCTAACATTCCTGACCTTTTGCTCTAACATGTGTCTTGCATGGTAACTATAATCCATTCCACTGATGCTTTATTTGATTCATTATTTTGGAGTTTTCTTCTTGTGACTGCTTCCAGTAAGATAAGGTTAAACAATGTGTGTTCAGATTTTAGTGTTTGACAATCTCAAGTTTAAAAATAAATTTAAAATTGATGCTAACTTATTAATACTGTGAATATTAGCAGATTTTTAAATCTCGTTGAGACTCAGTTTTCTAATCTGTAACATGCATCTCAAAATAATTCTCAACCAAATGGTAGTGAATATTAAAATATGTAATATACTTAGGAATTTCCTATAAACATATTGACTTTCAAGGCCTAAAGGAAAGGAATACTTGATAGATTAAACCATGTAAAAATTTAAAACTGCATTAAAAATACGCAAGAAAAAAGGTACTGTTAGAATAAAATATTCAACAAATATAAAATAATGTATTATTTAAGGTATGAAGCTAATTCTTACGAATAAAAAGAGAAAGGAAAACAACTAAATAGAAAAATGTTCAAAAGGTAGGAATAAGCATATTGCCAAATGAAAAAGTGCCAATACATGTAGAAAAAAGTTGCTCAAAAACACTAGGAATCAGGAAAATGACCAAAGATAATATAACTTTGGATTATTAAAAACTGGGCTGGGTGTGGTGACTGATGCCTACAATCCCAGCACTCTGGGAGGCCAAGGCTGGCAGATCTCTTGAGCTCAGGAGTTTTGAGACCAGACTGAACAACATGGCAAGGCTCTGTCTCTACAAAAAGTAGCCAGGAGTGGTGGTGTGTGCCTGTAGTCCCAGCTACTTGGGAGGCTGAGGTGGGAGGATTGCTTGAGCTTGGGAGGTGAAGGTTGCAGTGAGCTGAGATCCGGCCACTGCACTCCAGCCTGGGTGACAGAGTGAGACCCGGAATCAAAATAAAATAGAATAATACAATAAAATAAAAATAAAAACTGTCAGTAATTCTCAATTTTTATAAGAATGTAAAATGAGTTCTTTCACCTACTGTTGGTTGGAAGCTATTTAACACATATATGTATTATATTTATTAATTATATGATAATTATGATAGATAATTATGTGTATAATAATACATATATATGTATTATATGGAGTGTAGTTATATCATTTGGAGGGTAAATTGCCACTTTTTCCAAAAATTTTAAATGCACCTTCCTTTCGACATAGCAATTTCAGTTTCAGAAATCTCATTAAAATAAACACTTCCACACACACACAAACTAAGGTGAATCTATAAAGAAGTAGAACACAATATTCTTTATGATAGTGAGGCAATAGAAACAAATACGCATCAATAGAAAAGCAATGATATGATGTCTCAAAGTACTAAATAAGCACCAAAAAGAATAAAGTGAACTTCTCTACTGATATAGAAAGCTCTCTAGGACACTTTATTACATGAAAAATAAATGGCAAGTTAAAAAATCTAATAAATCCAATTTACATGACAAAACTGTGTATGTATGCAAGTTTGTGTGTGATTGGATAAAATTATATGCACAGATATATAACTGAAATTAAACAGGCTATCATGATATACCTTAAAGTATAAAAGCCAGTGTTCTTTGAGAAGAGTGGTGTGAGACAGGGAAGAATGAGGAAATGCAGTAGGTCTTTCGCCTTTGCTTTACCTGAGTCTTATACGGTGAGATGGATTTGTGTGCTGCTTAGGAAATAAAACTTGATGAGGTCCGTTTATAGATTCAAGACTTCAAGAAAAATAAAAATAAATTAACATTCATTTGATTTTTATTTCTTTCCAAAAAGAAAAACCTTCATCACAAATATGCATGCTCTAGTAACTAGTGTTACTGCACTAGTAAGAAGGAATATTTCAGGTTTTTCTTGCAGAAAAATCAACTTGTTTCTGGTAATTGGATCAACTATAACAGCATGCATTTTGAAGCTTGAACTTGCCCCTGGATCCAGAGGAAAAAAGCCTTGGGACAAGCAGAATTATCTTGATTTTCCTTATCCGTTCACTTTTACTAACAAACTGAAATGAACATTTTTTTGACATGAAGAGGAGTCGTGAAAATTCTTAACCCTCTTCATTTTATTGCTATGTTCAAATTATGACTCACTTTATTGCTATGTTCAAATTATAGCCCCTTTATCATATTTCTCAGCCACATCAGCAAATATAGTTCTTATTCCTATCTTTTTACCCTTCATCCTATCTCCCTTATTTACTTTGCTTCTCTCCTTCCCTTCCTTTTCCTCTTTTCTTGTTACTTTTTGACTCCTATCGACATTTTGCTCTAGATGAATGCTACCCTCCTCCTCACTTGCCACCAGGGAGATATTGCACAGGTGCAGCCCCATCTGTCCCAATGTGCGACTCTCACGATGCAATAGTATACAGCAGTGTCTCTCAGCGTCGCGTGGGGCAGAATCAAGGTGCTGGACTTTCTGTCTTCTGTGATGATCAGAGAGGCCATTGCATTGGTCTCATTGTTTTTTAGACCATGAATGACATACTGTGGCCCCTGGGAGTGAATCTGTCGATACCAATGTATGTACTCACTTCCACTGATGGTAGAGTGATTACAAGGCAAGTTTGCAGCTCTTCCTTCAGCGCAATCCATGGAGGTGGGCTGAGTGGTCTTAGCATCAATTATAGTCCCTAAGGGGTCAAGAAAATCAGATTAACTCCTGACTCTCAAACCAATGTAATTCTGTGGATCAAGGATACAACACTCCCTTAACGCTCCAAAAGTTTTATGTCCTGCGAGAACACAAAAAATAGCATTGGTTTTATTATAAAGACCAAAGATACATGCCAATAATAATAGACTCTCTAGGCTGTATTCCATGGGCTCCTGACTTAATAAACCCATAGATTTCATACAATCGAATACTGCCAAGGGCTCTTCTGGGATTATGGTTGTGATCTGGCCTGGTATGTAGATGTATGTACTTCCTAGACAAATGCACAGAACGGTTCTCAATTATATCTAGTATGCTGGAAAAAGCACAGGGAGCATAGAGGGCAAACCACCCTTCGGGGTCCCTTGTCCTCTGAAGCCCTCCCTACGTAGACCCAGAGCACTTACCAAAGGTCAGAAACACAGTTACTCTTGCCACCAGCCTCATACTTCAAGAACAAATGAGGATTATGGACCCAGAGTTCAGTTTTTGTATCTGATTCTAGGTTTAAAGAATTTCCAGAGAACAGAAGCAACAGCTATGGTAAAGACTTGCAAGGAGTGCAGCTCTCATTGTGTTGTTGTCAGGATCTTGTCAGCCAATGATAGAGCAGTTGCTTTTCTGTGTCTTCCTCTCCAGGTTTAGCCACGTTCCTGAGAAGACAGTGAGGATTTCAACCAGACATCCTCAACTCAGGGGGTATCTACTGAAATCATTTATGAGGTTTAAAGTCTAAAAGGTTGGCACTGAATGAGGAAAATCGATCGTAAGGATGTATCTATCCAGACCTTTTCTTCCATCATTCTTTCCTCAATGTACCAAATAAATTGTCCTCTGTTCCACGGAGCTTGTGGAAAGTGTCATTAAATCCCAGAAGCCTATACTGAGCTCTGTGTTGTCAGGAGATTAAAGTTCCCATCTACATTCTAGAAAATGGGAGTGAGGTTCAAAAGTAGGAAGTGATGTGCTCAGGGGGAAAATAAGCATTAGTAACATTGACACTGAAAGCTAAATCTCCCCAAACTCGGGTTTCCTACAGAGGTCCCTGGAATCATGTATTGACTGTTGTCTAAGTAGACATTTCTCAGTGCATCTGTTCTTGATATAGTGACTAGTGACATAAATGGTGCTGGCTCTCATCCGCCTTAAACTCTCTGGCCTTAATGTTCATTTCCTAATTTCTATGCTCATGCTTATGGCTACTGTGTGCACCAAGGACACTGAGGCAGAAGAAAAAGAGACCAGGAAAAGCAAACAAGGTTGGGGGCGGAGGTGGTAACAATAGGTAAAGGAAAGGAAGAAAAAGGTGCAGGGTATAGGGGAGATAGGAAATGATTAGGGAAGTGAAACTTGGAGAAAGCAGTGTTAAGGGAGGTGCTCTGAGAAGACTTAGCACATCGGTGTAAGGGTCCCTGAACTCTTGAAGCCATAACACACTTAATAAGAGATCATAAAGTACAATTTGTGTAAAGAGGATAAAAGTGTATCTTTGTTTCCTGTTTTCTGTGGAACTTGAGTGGAAAACATAAGCTTAGTGTCCCCTCTCCAAGAAAGAAACCTAAGTTTTAAGGTGAAGCAGCCCCCTCTTGTGACTGACTGAATGAATGAACTGTGTAGCTATCATCAGGCAAAAAGTCAGCCAGCAATCTTCTGACTCTTTTATCAGGTTTGAAGGTAGATACTTAGTTTTAACACCTCTGTACTCATCTTTGTTTTATCAGTCCTCTAACACTCCAAGAAAGGTTTTAACTATTTTTAAAATTACTTTGTTATTTCAATAATATCCCCATTATAATTCTTAATTGCTGACGTGGAGTTCATTTCTCTTTTGTTTCTAACCATCCCATAATTAAAGGCTAGTTCAAAAGCCCATACGATTCAATGCTTATAAGAGATATTGGCACAGAATAGCACTCAATAATTACTTGTTTCGTGAATGCATAGATGAGTCATAATTGACAAATTTACTGAACTTATGCTAAACAAATCTTTAAATTATTCTATATTCACTCTTTCAGCTATCTGGAATACATTTTGCAACAAAGACTACAATGGGGTAAACATAGGGTCAGATTTGTAGGCAAAAATTCAACGATAGACAATAAATTTCTCCAACATGGGTGTGAAAAATCAAGCTACAAAGACATGGAGTAAAAGTCTTAGTAATAATATTCCATTCATTTAAAAAATATTCACTAAGAGCCCACTCTGTACTAGATCATAAAGATGTAAGTTAACAGGACAGTACTGCTGAAAATATAAGAAGAAATAGACAATTACTTAAAGTAGGGAGGACTATATCATGTTGTTATATTAACAAAGGGAGAAGAAAAGTAATTAATACAATTTCCTTTTTTTGCTTTTGGTTTGATCACCTTTATTTTTTGGAAGACAATTGAGGCTACTAACAGGTGATATTTTTAATGGTATTGAAAATCATTAAGTATTTTGCATAGCTCTAAAGAATAAAAAATATATTTGTCCAAGCTATTGAGTATTTGCAGAGTGTCTTACATTTTAGAAGATTATATGATCTCTAAGATCATAACGGGTAAGGTTTTCTCCTCCTTTGCTTGATGAAAAACCAAAATAATGGGTTCAACCTATTTTAAACTTCTTTATCATTTACCACCATAAAATATACACAAATCTATTATTAAAATTTTAAATTTGTCAAAACTTACACACACATGAGAATCTGATACAAGGCCAATACCTTCACATGATGAATACTCTCAACAATCTAGACATGTAGAAAAGATTCCTTAATCTGATAAAGAGTATCTATAAAAATATCCAAAGCTAACATTGTAATTAATGGTAAAATACTGAACATTTTTTCTCTGAGTTTAGGAAGAAGATACATTATCACACTTCCATTTATTATCACATTGTAATAACTGGCATCAAGTCAGGAAAAAAATAAAATGCATAAAGTCGGGAAAGGAATAAGTAAAACTACTTCTTCATAGATAACATAATTTGAATATAGAAAATTTAAAAGAATCTGTAAAGAAACGACTAGAACGAATGAATGAATTCACAGTCATTGAATAAAAAATTCCATTCTATTTCTAGCTTCTAGCTAAAAGCAATTGGAAAATAAAATAAAAATGCCATTTACAATGAAATAAGCAAATGAATGAATTTAATTAAGGATATGAAAGTTCATTAAAATGAAAATTATAAAACATTAATAAAAGGAATTAGGGAGGACTTAAATAAATGGAGGGCTATATTTATACATCTAAGGAATCCATATGTTAAATTATCAGTTTTCTCAACCTTATCATAAAACTCAGCAAATCTGAATCAATTTACCAGAAACTTGTTGTGGTAGAAGTTTGAGAATCTGTTTTGCAATTTCTATGGAAATTTAAATCCTATAACAAGTGAGATAACCTTGAAAAAAAAGGTGGGCGATAGCTGGAGGAATTGCGTTTCCAGATTTCAAGACTTATGTGAAACCTCAGTAATTAAGAGAAAATGGCCTATTGGTACGAGAATTGTTAAAAAGACAACTTAACAGAATTATGTCCCGAAGTAGATGAACACACGTGTCATGACTTGATTTTCTCCAAAGGTGCCAATGCAATTCAGTGGGGGAAGAAATGGTCTTTTCAATATAAATGCCAAAGTAACTTTAATTATACATATAAACACACACACACAGACACAGACACAGACACACACACACATATTCCAGATGGGTCAGAAACCTAAATGTGAAGAGTGAAGCTATAAAGTTTTAAAAGAAGACACAGGATTACAACTGTATTATATTAGAAGTGGACAACAGTATTTTTTAAAGTACACAAAAAACCCTAATCATAAAGAAAGAAAAATAAATTACAGTGGAGACTGCAGTTGACCCTTGAACAAGTTTGGATGGTATGGGTCCACCTATATGCGAACTTTTTTTCAACAAATATTTTGGAAAAATTTTTGGAGATTTCAACAAGTTGAAAAATCTTGCAAACACACAATGTAGTCTAAAAATATCAATAAAATTAAGAAAAAGATATGTCATGAATGTGTAAAATGCATGTAAATACTAGTCTACCTTATCACTTACTACTTAAAACATACACAAATTTATTATAAAAATTTTAAATGTATCAAAACTTAAGCACACAAACACAGACCGTATGTGGTGGCACTTGGAGTCTGGAGAAATGCACACAAACTTAAAGATGCAGTATTAAATCACAACTGCATAAAATTAACTATAGTACATACTGTACTACTGTAATAATTTTGTAGCCACCTTCTGTTGTTATTGCAGTGAGCTCAAGTTTGTGAATATCGACTTAAAATGCAATGCTAATTATCTCCACATGAGCAGTTCATCTCTCCAGCCACTTGTCCATTGTAGTAAAAAGTCATCTCTCACAGTTCTCACATACTTTTCACTGTGTTTAGTGCAATAGTGTAAACCTTGAATAACACCATGGGATCCATGCAAAATTCCACCAGTGATGTTGGATGTGCGCAAAAGAAGCAGAGAAAAGTCATGACCTTACAAGAAAAAACTTAATTGCTTGACATTAAGCTGCAGCTGCAGTTGCAGTTGCCTGCAATTTCAGACAGATGATTCATCTTGTAAACAGACTACATAAACTTACAGAACTGCTATATACAGTATGGTACTGTAAACATATTTTTTCTTCCTTATGATTCTCTTAATATCATTTACTTTTCTCTAGCTAGCTTTATTGTAAGAACATGGTGTATAATCCATATAACATACAAACTATGTGTTAATTGACTGTTTATGTTGTCAGTAAGGCAGCAGGTTATCAGTAGTTAAGTTTTGGGGGAGCCAAAAGTTGTATACAAATTTTTGAATGCATGGGGGTTGGTGCCCCAAACCCTTGTGTTTTTCAAGACTCATCTGTACATAAGGACCCAGAAGTTCAACCCCCACCTGGCAGTTTGATGATCCTCCCTGCCCTCTGATGTCAATGAGGCTGAATGGGGACACTGGATTCTATCTCTACCAGGTAGTTCCCCTTCCCCTGCTGGTGTGGCATCAGAGAAAGGAGATAAAACAAAAAATTTAAATAAGATCCAGAGTTTCAAACACAATACTTAAATGTTCAGATTTCAATAAAAGAAATGCACTCAATATACTCAGAACCAAGAAGATCTCAAACAGAATTTTAAAGAGACAATCAATAGGTGCCAACCCTGAACTGAAAGTCATGGTAAAATTACCTGATAAAGATGTGAAAGCAGCCATGATGAAAATGTTTCGAAGAGCAACTACAAACATGCTTGAAACAAATGAAAAAACAGAAAGCTTCAGGAGGAAATAGAAAGTCTAAGTAAAGAAGTAAAATACATAAAAAAGAACCAAGATATCAAATGGAAATTTTAGAACTTAAAAATATAGCTGAAATAAAAAGTCCACCAGATGGGCTCAATAGCAAAATGGAGGGGATAGAGAAAATTATTAGTGAACTGGAAGATAGAACAAAAGAAATTACTCAATCTAAATAACAAAAGGAAAATAGAATGATTTTTAAAAAATGAACCAAGCCTCAGGGAATTGCAGGACTATAACAAAATATCTAACATTCCTTTCATGATAGTACTAAAAAAGAAAGGGGGTAGGACTGAAAAAGTATCAAAGAAGTAAAAGCCAAAAACTTCTCAAATTTGGCAAGACACAAAATATAGCAGAATACTGAGTTTAAAACGTCAGTCCCCAAAGGTCATTTATACAACATATATGAAATCTCAAAATTATAACGATGAAGGATAGATTAATAGTTCCCAGGGATGAAGGAGGGGTAGGAGCAGAGAGGAAATTAATATGACTACAAAAGGACTACAGAAAGCACCCTTGTGGTGATAGAAATGTTCCATGCCTTGACTGAGTCAGCGTCAATATCCTGGTTGTGATCTTGTACTATAGTTTTATGCCACTGGAGTAAACTGAGTAAAGGATACATATGACCTGCCTTAATTTTTAAAAATATATGTGAATTTATAATAATCTCAAAATTTTAAGTTTAATAATACATGTCAACAATATTAAGTACTAGCAAGGTTATGGAGAATTGAAACTCTTTTCCATAATGATATAACCTCAAAAACGGCTTGGAAGTTTCTAATAAGGTAAAGATATGCCTGTTCTATGGCCCAGGGATTCTACTACAACAATAAAACTTACATAAGAATGTTCAACAGTTTCACATGTTCACAAAAAGACTTACATAAGAACATTTATAGCAGTTGTATTCATCATGGCCCCAAACTCGAAACAACACAAATTTCTATTACCAAAGAAGTAGATAAACAAGATTGCATATTTATACAATGGAACAGTGTTCAACATAAGAAACACATAAAAATGTAATGTATGATTTCATTAATATGAAATTCAAGAGAAAGCAAAACTAAGCTAAGGCAATAGAAATCAGAATAGTGGTTATCTCTAGGGGTAAGTATTGAGTGAAAAGAGGAATGAAATAATGTCTGGGTTGGTGGGAATATTCTGCATCTTGATTGGTGGAGGATTATTACACAGGGATGTGCATAACTAAACATTCACAAACATTTGATGAATGTTAGTGCACTTTACTGTATGTGTATTATGCCTCAATACAAAAACCAAAGAGATATACTGACGGAACTAAATATGGTGACAACACAAATACTGTATCTTTCCTAATATCAAGACCACCTAGGTTTCCCAGACATTTCTTATCTATTTTGCTGAAGGTCTTTCAGGCTTTTGAAGCAATTTGAATAAAGTAACCACAGGCTTGTGCTTTGCTGTTGGGCATCAGAAAGCACTCAAGTCTCCTAATAATTTTATTTATGTATCAACCTATACCTATGAATGTTATAAAAAACGTGAGTTCAACTCCACTGGGTCTGCATAGATTTCTCCCTTCATTATTTATTACTTTTCCCAACAGTGAGAAATCTGGCTCTCATGATTCATGATCTATTATGTATTTTACCTATATACATTTGTTCAATCCAAATGCTTGCATAAATTAGTTTAAGAATTGCTAACCCATATCCCTTGAGAAATAAATTTATTACCTACAGAATGGTATTTGTGTGCCATTCTTTTGCCTTTAGTCTTACAGTATCTACTCAAAATACTGTTTTCAAAAATTATTTAGGTTAGTTATTTTCTTCCACATTAAAGACAGTGTCACTGTGTTTACATTATTCACTATAATATTGTTGGATGCATTTGTTACAGTTTCTATTTCTTTTGGGGTTCCACTCACATTCTAGTTATCTTACACAGTAAGATTTACTTTCTGTGGTATACAGGTCTATGGTACAGTTCTCACTAACCCTTTGATCTGTTTCCTATCTTTATAGTTTTGCTTCTACTCATATGTATTAATAATATAAATAAACTCACACAATATGTAGTCCTTTGGACTTAGTTTCTTTTATTTACCAAGACGCATTGAAGATTCATCCATGTTCTTGCATGAGTCAATATTTCATTTCTTTTTATTGCTGAGTAGTACTCAGTCATATGGATGAACCACAATGTGTTTAACCCTTCTCCAGTTGAAGGACATCTGGTCATTCCCAGGTTTCAGTAATTATGAATTAAGCTTCTGTAAACATTCACATGGACATTTTTATGTGAACATAACCTTTATTTCTCTTGTCTAAATACGCAGGAGAGAGTGATGAATCATATTGTAAGTGAAGTTTAACTTTATAAGAACTGCCAACCTGTTTTACAAAGTGCGGAGCATTTCTCTTTCCTATCACCAATGGATGAGAGTTCCAGTTGATGTGTAGCCTAACCAGTACTTGATATTGTTATATATTTGAACTTTATCCATTCTTACAGGTGAGTAGATGTAAGTTACTTAATATCTTGAGGTTTCAGTTTCTTTCTTTATAAGTTGGAAATTATAATACCTGCTTCATAAAGCAGTATTATCCTTACTTGTTTTTAATCTTGTCTCCTGTGAGTGAGCAAGAAAAGCAGAGATGTGGACTAATGGACCCCATCATTGTAAAGGATAGAGAATCACTCTAATCACTCTAGACAGCATGGAGATACAGATTGGATGTGACAAAAGAAAGAAAGAAAGAAGGATAGAAAGAAGAAAGAAAGAAGAAAGAAAGAAAGAAAGAAAGATAAAAAGGAAGAAAAGCATGATTAATGCCTTCTGAAGGAGGTTTTTTATTTTATTTTATTTTTATTTCTTATTTTTATTTTTTTGAGACAGAGTTTCACTCTGTCACTCAGGCTGGAGTGCAGTGGCGTGATCTATGCTCACTGCAACCTTGAAGGAGGTCTTTTAAGCAGATTCTACAGATGTGTTTTTGTACAGTAGTCAGGTGCAGTCTTTGTGAAAACCTTCCAAAAAATCCTATGAAGAAAGGGTTTTGGAGGAACAAGCCAAACATTTCAATTTGACACTAGAGTCAAATTGAAATTGTCAGTCCACCCCTTGTTTCTGTACATGGTGTCTCCCAGACAGAAAATATTGGAGAATCAGAGGATGAGAGCCCCTCATGTGTGCTTAATAGAAGATACACTGGGAATAAAAGAGAAACAATCAGTGAGGGAAACCAAGAAATATCGGACCATACTCTCCTGAAATTTGGTAGAGAATCAAAATGAGATCCTAATTATACTGGTAAGGCGGTGTGTGTGTGTGTGTGTGTGTTTTCCTTCTTATGTGAATCATCTCTGGCAGCTGTTTTGATGGATGAAATCATTCCCCTACTGGCAGTAAAGGTCATTTTTTGATCTTTCCAGAATTATTTATGAGGTCTTTTATAATTCATGTCTATTTTCAAGTGCTTGTGATTTTGTTGATTAGTATTATGTTTTACTTTGGCATGATTGTAGCAGAAACACACAGAAAATGTATGAAAGGAAAAAGAGAAAAGAAGGAAAACTTCTTGGGAGAAAGACCCACCTGCCCCCCACCCCCAATAAAAAGTAATAATTTGAGAGGATCAGTGTGCAAAAGGGCCAAGGCTATGATAGAAGAGGAGAAAATAATTTTTACAATAATTTTAACATAACTGTTTTTGGCACAACTCTGAAATAGCCTTGGAAATGTTATAATGGATGAAAACAACTATTAAATAATTATAGTGCTCTTAGAAATTAACCTAAACATGTGTGTGCTCCCAGCCATATTTTTCTATATACATGTTATTTTGTTTTATAAGTGTCATACTACTATTTTGTATTTGACTTTGTTCATTTGATAAATTAAATTAACTCTTATGTCACAACATTTTCATCACAACAATTTTATGGCTACAAAATGTTTTATTAGAAAGGTGCGAAAACTTTATTTGACCATTTAGCTGACCAATATCACTTGATTTTAATGTTTAAACTCTCCAATACAGTTGTATTTTTTATCCTCTCTTTCCCAGGAGAAAAATCTTTGCTAAGTACTGAGAAATAAAGTAATTAATCAAATCAGTGAACACCCTTTGAAATCTGTGGCTAACATTTCCCCGTAGTTAGACCAATGAACATGGCTACCAGAACTTGAATCATCAGCTTCATCTGGGCTTGGGGAATATAATTGCAGTCAGAAGAGTGAAAAAGAGACCATGCCTAAATCTCTTCATGGGTCACCTTCTAGTTTCGTCTAAACTCCTCATTTTAAAAAGAGCTGTCTTCACTCAGTTCTCTGGAAAGGTGGTTACCGCACGCATAATCTTTATGCTATGTTGGACTGCATTGCATTGAAGCAGATGAGTTCTACAGAGGTGACTCTTCAGGGAGTTGGTCGTAAACTTTTAAGTTGCGTGTACGTAATGAAAAATGTTTAATTTTCAAATCTTCCACAATACAATTGAGCTAAAACCTTAAAGAAACTGCTTGGAAACCTCTGCTACCACCCAAACAGGGGTCCCAAACCCTCGGCGGCGGGGAATCCGTAACCTTCTGTGGCCTGTTAGGAACCTGGCCGCAGAGCAGGAAGTGAGCGGCAGGTGAGCATTATTGCCTGAGATTCGCCTCCTGTGAGATCAGCAGCAGCATTAGATTCTCACAGGAGCCCGAAGCCTATTGTGAACTGCGCATGCGAGGGATCTAGGCTGCTCTCTCCTTATGAGAATCTAACTAATGCCTGATGATCTGAGGTAAACAGTTTCCCTCACGGTTAGGGGGATCCCTAAACCATTCCCCACCCTGCTCCGTGGAAAAACTGTCTTCAACAAAACTGGTCCCTGGTGCCAAAAATGTTGGGGACCACTGCACTGAAAGATGAACTCAGACTTTTTATATAAATATCTGTATCACAAATTGTTAAAATCCAACGATTCTTCCTAAGACAATTCGAATTCTTTGAGACTCCTGTGTAGAAGAAAACCGGTAGTTAAGTTTTAGGAAATAAAACTGCTAAACGCTTCCAGGTCTTAACAGAGTGATTTTCTATATGCATTCCTGCTGCCGTGGGGAGGAGTTGCTCGATATCCTCACAGACATTGTGACTTTGGCTTTCTCTGGCTCCTGCTCTTTGGGGAGAGTAGGATGATCTGCTCCTGAAGACCCAGGGCAAGATTTGGAGACAGGCAGCAGGTGCTTGGGGAGCACTGTGCCCTGCGCAGAAGTAGGTTCCTACATCTGTAGTCTGGGTGGCTGTGATGTGCAGGGAGCTGTTCTTTTTTGCTTCTCCAGACTGAAATGTCAGTCTTTTCTGCTTCTTCACTTCTCCACTCTTCACTAACATTATCAAAAAAACAGGATGTCCCCCAGGCCTTTGCTTATACCACTGTATATTGTTTAAAGTAGTTGAGAAATTGCAGTACGTGGTGAAGTCCTCTCCTTCTTGTACATGCTGGTACTGAGGAATTTGCATTATTTGTTGTCCATTCACCTCTGTTTAGAAAGACAATGGGAAGCATCACATAAAATCAGAGTAGATATTTAGTCCCTGAGCTACGCGGGTCTCTCTCACTTCTCTTTTCTTTTTTTCCCTTTCTGTCCATGTTTCCCTTTCCATCTCCCTCAACCTTTATTCTTTCTGTCTCTTTCTCTCTGTTTCTCTCCCTTTCTCTTAATTCTTGTTTTTCAAACAGAAAGTCCATTCCCTGCCTGCAGATACTTCTCTATCCTGTTGGATTTATTCTCTGGAAGCAGTCAGGGACATCTCAAACTCACGTGACAATTGCATCCATAAGACCAACACTGATGTGATGAGTAGCATCTCCCTCTCCTTCCTCTTCATCCAACTGCTCCTAAATGGGTTGCCTGGTATAAGCTTCTTCCAGATCAATAGAAATAGTTGCGGTCTATTTTGGAAAGCAGATGTGTGCATTTTGGAAAGAAAGGGGAGGTGACTGCAAGTTAAAAAAACCAATCAGACTATTTTGCCCACCCACTTCAGAGGACAGTCTATGTTTGCCGATGCTGCCTCCTTGTGGCTGGACTCAAACATTGCTCATTTGACAACATTCTTTTATTAATAAAGTTGCTTTGTAATTTAGGTGGTATGTATGTGTGTCAAGGATTGGAAGGAAAGAGCTTCCTGATAGTGACATTGTTCAAGGAGAAATAATTTGCCTCTTAAAATGGAGTCTGTGATTTAAAACTAGGGCATCCAAAGAAAAGAGAAAGTTCGATTTTGTGGCTTCCATCGTCATTAAGAATCACCTTGTGCCATGTAGCACGTGCTTGTAAGTGTGTTAATGGGACATATTAGGTCACAGACATTTTAATAAATGTGGGAGACACTTGTGATTTATTGTTAGACAACCCATTACCTCAAAACAGAATATAAGAAATACATATTTCTCTTTTGTCACCCAGATTTCCCTGGTAAACTATCCAATTTAGGAATCATATCTACCACCCCACTATGTTACTTTTACATATGCCAGCCGTGACGAGGGAAGACATTAATATAATTAGAAAAAAGTCTTATCTAACAGATAATCAATTTCTATAGGAAGGCTTCCATAAACAAAACACTTGGATAAAGTAGCTTTCTGTTCTGATCTGGCTGAGAAACATCTACAGTGTGTGGTGGAAAAGGTTGGAAGATAAAAACAGAAAGTAACTTAAAAAAGCTGCTGGCTCCCACAGAACTTCAGCCACACTTATCGCACTGTTTATACCTGTATGACCACTGATGAATTATCTGAGTTAGCCTTTTTGTACCTTGAAGGTGTGAACTGTATCATCTTCAAGAAATGCACTGTCTTATGTGGCAGCTACAAGCCACATGAGGATACTTAAATTTAAATTAAATAAAATTTAAAATTTAATTTATCATGCACACTAGCCACATTTCAAGTGCTCAGTATTCATATGTGGCTAGTGTCTATGCAGATGCAGAACATATTTGCTATCTTTGAAAATTCTATTGGACAGTACTGCTCTAGAATGTAGGGTCTATGAAAACAATGAATTTTGTCTTTTTAGTTTGCTGATGGATCACTAGTATAAACCTGATATGTGGTAAGCCCTCAATAAGTATTTGTCTATTATTCACCAACATGTCCTACTCTAATAGCTGGTAAATTGTGGATACTCAGGTGTTCATTAAATGACAAAAAAAGTGTGTTTGTATACATATTGTGTCACAATTTAAACTAAAATATTCCAAAAAATATTAAAATGTTAGAACCATATTCAATACCATATTCAATGGTATCAGTTGACCATGTGCCCTTCTATAAAAACAATCAAGGTTTGGTTGTAGCTATTTAGAAATATTACCTTTAGGAGATACTAGTTTCCTAGGGTTGTTGTAGCCAACAAACTTAGTGATGACAAAAATTTATTTTCTTTACAGCCCTAGAGGCTAGAAGTCTGAAATTTAGGTGTCAGCAGGGCTGTGCTCCCTCTGAATGCTCTAGGGGAGAATCCTTCCTCATCTCTTCCAGCCTCCGGTGGCTCCAGGCATCTCTTGGATGTGGCTGCATAACTGCAACCTCTACTGCTGTCTTTAGATGGTCTTCTCGTCTGTGTGTTTCCTTTTTTTTTTTTTTTTCCCTGAGACAGAGTCTCACTCTGTTACCCAGGCTGGAGTGCAATGGTTCACTGCAACCTCCGCCTCCCGGTTCCAAGCGATTCTCCTGCCTCAGCCTCCTGAGTAGTTGTGATTACAGATGTGCACCACCATACCTGGCTAATTTTTGTATTTTCAGTAAAGACAGAGTTTCACCATGTTGGCCAGGCTAGTCTCAAACTCCTGACCTCAGGTGATTCACCCACCTCGGCCTCCCAAAGTGCTGTGATTACAGGCATGAACCAACGTGCCCGGCCTCATCTGTGTGTTTCTTAAAAGAACAGTTGTCATTGGATTTAGGGCCTACTTGAATAATCCAGGGTGATCTTATCTTAATATTCTTAACTCAATTACATTTGCAAAGACCCTTTTTCAAATAAGCCCACATTCACTATTTCTAGGGATTAGGACATGGACGTATCTTCTGTCATCATTCAACCCACTGCAAGAAATCTAATGTCTTTAAAGTGTTGCCATGTAAATGTATTAACGGCGGAAATCTCAACAATTTGTGTAGGGTAAAAAGTGAATCAAAATCTGAATTACTGCATGAAATGGAAACAGACCAAGAAGCAGTTTTAGGATGTGCTGAAAAATGACAAATCTCGTGAATTAAGATAAATTTTTGAAATGCATGCCACTGGGATGCTTTTTTCCTCCTTAGGAATACTGGATTTGGATCTCAAAATGAAGACAAAGTTAACAATTTTAAGACCATAAGAACTCCTGCCCCATTCAAGAAGAGCAAGGAGTATGGAAGGAGCACCTGTGGGGGCTTTAGAAATCCTCTTCTCTTCATCCAGGGCAGCAGCACTGGTGCAGTTTACGTAGGAGGTATAAACCAAGACAGAGGAATCTCGCCCAGGTCAAGCTTGCCCTTTCCCAACTAGCAGCATGGCCTCTCTTGGAGCCTCTCTCTAGATCTTATGGTTGGAAGTGGAAATTTACTAAAGGAAGAGAAGGGAAGCTGGCCATGCATTGGTTCAAGGAGTAAAAGAAATCTCTGCACTTTTAGACGGAATCTCTGCATTTCCTTGCAGGAAACATTTCCATTGAATATAAACATCTGATAGCTCTCAGTGGCAAATATTTTTGTCAAAACAGTTGTAAGAGAGGATCAGATTAAAAAATATTTATAATAAGATGTTACAAGTGTTATTCTATGAAATCTCAGATAAAAAATAAAAAATGCTGCCTGAATTGGGCCATAAAAGGTGAGTAGACCTGTATGCATATTACAATGGGAAAAATATATTCTGGGAAAAGAGGACAGATTTAGGAAAGCCCTTAATATTCACATAAAGGGTTAGAATTTAAATATGCATATATAATATATATGAAATATGTATCATGTAAAAATATATTACATATATGAGAGAAGGATGGAAGATTAAAATAGAAGGTAAACGGGATTCTGTAGATGGCCTTGTATTTCTTTTTTTTTTTTTTTTTTTTTTTTTTTGAGACGCAGTCTTGCTCTGTCACCCAGGCTAAAGTGCAGTGGCATGATCTCAGCTCACTGCAAGCTCCACCTCCTGGGTTCAAGCAATTCTCCTGTCTCAGCCTCTCGAGTAGCTGGGATTACAAGAGCATACCACCACGCCTGGCTAATTTTTGTATTTTTAGTAGAGACAGGGTTTCACCATGTTGGTCAGGCTGGTCTCGAACTCCTGACCTCAGGTGATCCGCCTGTCTCAGCCTCACAAAGTGCTGGGATTAGATACGAGCCATCACGCCTGACAAGCCTTGTATGTTTTAGTATAGAGTTTCAACTTTATAACTTCTAATGGTTCCTCATTATCCACAGGGGGGCAGGAAATGATCTTATTAAATACATTTTATAATGACTCTAGCTGCCATGTAGAAGTTAGATTCAAAGAGTTGAGACTAGAGGCAGGAAGACAATTAGGAAGTCATTGCAATCATCCAAGTGAGAGATGCTGAATGTCTGAATTAGGAAAGCAGTAAGTAATATAGAAATAAAGAAATGGATATGAGCAGTATTTGGAAGTTCAAACTGACATGACCTTGATAATTACTGGACTATCAAGGTTGTGAGTTATGCTTCATTAGGACTCTGATATGTATCTGGCATAGGAGCATGTTTACTTAGTTAGCTCTTGTGGGAGTTAGTATCCAAAGATGCCCCCAAAATCCTGCTTCTGATATTCATGCCCTTGTGTAGTTCCCTTCCATGTTGAGTCTGGGCCGGCTCCATGACTCAGTTTTAATTATATTTACAGAGGCTCCTTTTCCAAGTAACATCACATTCATGGTTCTTATGTGTGCATGAGAATGCAGTAGAAATAATATTGTGGCAATTCTGGCCTAAACATTAAAAATGCCTGGCACCTTCCACTTTTGTAATATTGGAAGCCCTGAGCCACCAGGTAATTTGTACCCTAGAGAGATCTGGAGGAGAGACCACATGCAGAGGCCATGTGTAATGAAAGCCCTGAGAATAGTTGGGATGAGAAATGAGCCCAGCCTTCCACATTCCCACCAAAGCTCCAGGTATGGCAGTGACCTCCAGGGGTTCTAGTCAGGCAAGCCCCCAGAGGACCCTAGCTGCAGTCAACATCACAAGGAGCAGAAGTGTCATGAGATAGTAAAATGACACTTGCTTAAGTGAGTTGTAGAATAGTTTGTTATTCAGCAAGCCACAAAAGCTCTGGAGTCCAATGAAAAATAGTCTTTTTGAGAGCTTGTGAGAAATCAACAATAAAAATGTATGCTTCCTCTGTCTGATCTCTGCTAGTCTCTAATAGCTTGACCTGAAGCATCTGCCGGTTTCACCAAACTTCTTTTCAAAAGCCATGCTTGTGCTTCTGCACTGGCACAGAAGACGTGGTGGCAATGATCAGAGCTACCAAGAGCTCTGTGCTACCACAGCACAGGAGCACGTGGCTGATTGCTCAGGTTGGGGCCCTGCAATCAACAGAGATCTGTGTCTCTCATTTAACATGATTTTTATATTTCACTCACTCTTCTCATTCCACGTGGCTAAACTAACAAAATTTACAAGAACATGCCTCTCTGTGTCTCTATAAATAATCAGAATTTAACACATTATTTTCAATTTCAGATCAGTTTTAGAATCCAAAGAGACTGAAAATTTTGGTCCATGTTTATTTGGTTACATACAGCTTTCATAAAGATAGGGATATTTTTGTAAGGACCGTGCACTACAGATTTACATTTTTCTTGATGGTGTGTGTGGGAAGATTTCTATCTCATCGTGGCTTAACGCAGGCAGAGTTCTCAAGGAAGTTGGAGTCATAGGCTGGTTTCAAGCAGCGTCATTCCACACTGAAGTGTGGTATGAATGTA